GCTGGTGCAGACAAGACATATACAATAGAGGCCATGATGGGGGATCGAAAAGCACTTCAGGCAGGAACCAGCCACAACCTTGGGCAAAACTTTTCTCGTGCTTTTGGAACACAGGTATTTTGGCAAATCAATGAAATTTCTTCCGACTTAAATACACTTGGTAATTGCTATAATAGTCGTTGAGATATATTTTTGTTATTTCATTGTTGCACATGCACCATTGTTGTTCCTATTGTACTTTGGTGATGTGGAAACCCTAGCCATTTGAATCTAAGAACCCTCACAAGCGCATGGATATGCAAACCTTTAGTTCACAAATTAAAAAATCCCAAATCTAATTGATTTTATTTCGAATGGTTGCAACTCTTGGGAATTTGATCTAACATCTTTATTGAAGAATAAGACCTTTATATCACTCCAAGGGAAAGTAAGATCTCAATTATTTTGTTGATCGAATATCTCAAGGCAAAAACACTTTCCAAGTATAATTTACAAAGATAACATACATGGCTTTATATAATCAAGAGTAACTTTCATACTGTACGACCATTATTAGCCACTATGTAAATTTAACTTAATGTAAATCAAAAGTCTTAAAAATACATTAAAGAAACATCATAACTCTAGATTATCATCCACTCAAAATGTGTAATCATCTAAAAATAAAATAAGCTCATATTTCTTGAAGTTCATATTGCATAATTGAGATGTCTTAGTTCCATATCATTTGACCTCAATTTTATTTCTATATTTTGTTTTGTTTGTTAAGATGGTTCAATGCCCCTTTGAAACATTCAACCAAAACATTATTTGATGTCTGACATACTATATTGCACTGTCAATGTGAATTGAGTTACTGAAACAATTACCTGAGTAGTTCACCGATGAAAATGGACAAAGGCAACATGTATGGCAGACATCATGGGCAATTAGTACACGTTTTGTTGGAGGAATTATTATGACTCATGGAGATGATGGAGGTTTAATGCTTCCACCAAGGCTTGCTCCAATACAGGTATAGATATGAGTTTACAATTTTTATTTTGTTGAGCATTACTATGTTTGCACGGTTTTGAATGAGAGAAAAATGTTGGCAATCCTCTTTTTGACTATGGCTCTCCCATTCCGGTTGTTATTTTTCTTTTTGTTACTTCAAAAGTAGTTGGCTTTGAGCCACTTGAATTTTCTATTTTATCCATAAATATTTATAGAATCCTAAAAAAAGATGAATTATATATTTAATGACAATATGATATTCAAGTGACTAAAGAATAGGTGCATAACATGGTTGTCATATGTCCAACTTTTTGAAAACTTGAGAATTGTAGAAAGAACTTCTGATAATGCCGGCATGTTTCAGTTGTTTTTTTTTTTTTTTGAGTCGACCGGTCGGTTCTAACAAATATCTTTATATGTGCCTTACTTATATCTAGGTGGTAATCATACCAATCTGGAAGAAAGAAGGTGTTAAAGCAGAAGTTCTTAATGCTGCTGCTTCTGTAGAAGTAAATCTTCGAACGGCAGGGATAAAGGTTAAACTCGATAATTCTGAACAGAGAACTCCAGGATGGAAATTCAATTTCTGGGAGATGAAGGTTGGTGCTTAACTGCATATTTTTTATGATTAAGATCAATGTCTGACAGTTCTATTACCCTCAGGTTAGGACAATATTGTCTAAAAAGCAAACCCTAATGTTCAATTTTTTAACAGACTGGTTATCTGCCCGTAGATATTCGCCTCTCTGTTATAAATTCTGTATTTTTTTATTATTATTTTCACAACTTAGAATCTAGTTTTAAAAAGGGTATTCTGTAGTGTAGGTTGGTTGGCTACCATTTTTTTTACAGGATGTATGCATGTCTGTTCTTGATAGTTTTGAATGATCCAATTCCCTTTTTAGCTCCATTATTTTCACCTAGATTTTGGCTTCCTCCCTCTTTGCATTTGTTGTTATTAACTTGAAATCAAATGTCTGTAACTAGACTTTGATTTGTAGGGCGTTCCTTTGAGGATTGAGATTGGTCCCAAGGATGTTGCAAATCAAAGTGTGGTTATTTCTAGGAGAGATATTCCTGGAAAGCAAGGGAAAGTTTTTGGGATATCCATGGAACCTTCTATTTTAGAAGCTTATGTGAAAGACACGTTGGATGAAATCCAATCATCTCTTCTGGAACAAGCAAAAACATTTCGTGACAGGTGCTTTCTTACTTTCACATGTTAGGGATGTTTCTTATTAAGTATATAAATCTACGTTCAGTTACATTTATCCTTTGCGAATTGAAGCAATTGAATGTTGAGTAGCATGCTTCTTGCAAATTGTAGTACAACATTACATATTTAGGTGGTTAAATGTAAATATATTCTGTTGAATTGTGAGGTTCAAGAAAATTGTTCCCATCTTCACCCTCATTTTCTTCCTGTCCTCGTCCTTTGCTTCTCCATGTAAAAACAAATAAAATTTTGGTTAATCTTAACAGCACGATTAATTTAACAGGGTATCAGCTCTAAAGCTGTCATGGGACTGAAATGTTTTTTTTTTTGTATACTTGATAACTATTTCATCTTATTATATGAAAAACCTGCATTTCCCGCCCTTTTCATAAGATTTACATTATTTTATTTATGACCTTTTTGCAGTAACGTTGTGGATGTGAGTTCATATAATGAACTTAAAGAGGCAATCTCCCAGGGAAAATGGGCTAGGGGTCCTTGGTCAGCTAGGTATGCTTATTTTCATTTCTTGAGTTTTGTAGATAATGAACGTTGTGGATGGTATTTTTGTGCATAATTTTGCTTGCTTCTTCTTTATGGTCTTCATCGTATTTGCAGTGACAAAGATGAGTTGAAAGTTAAAGAAGAAACAGGAGCAACAATTAGGTGCTTTCCTTTTGAACAGACACCGGGGCCTAAAACATGCTTGATGACCGGTAACGCTGCGGAGGAAGTTGCCATTTTTGCGAAGTCTTATTGAGATATAATTTCAACCCGACTTAAAAGGCGGCCAAGTCTTACTCATTTGGCTCTTTAATCACATTGTGTGCACTCGCTTTAAGGTCATGCCAAATTCACCGGAAGGAAGCCTCCTCTATATCAACTTCTCTGAGGCAAGGGCTAAGCTACCTGGTTAGTATGGCATATATCTTCTGAAGTTGGACGTATTTTGTTCTCTGCCTGCCTAATTCTCTTCTTTGGTGGCTCAATCCTTCATTTTTGAAGCAGTATTTAAGCGATGGATTTATGTAAGGATTAACTGTCTCATTAAATTGTCTCTGTTTCATGTTTCATAACATGAGTTTGCTGTTATTTTGTTGAATATTTGTTGATGACCCTTCAGTAAATTTTCTATTTCTTCTGTCCAAGGAAACGACTTTAGTATTTTCACTTGAATATTTGTTGGTCATCTACGGTAATGATTCAGGTTCTCTCTCTAAATTATGCAATGTATTTCCAGTTTTACATGATAAAGGCAGCGGAGTGAAATCTCCAGAGACTGATTGTTAACGCGTTTCACTTTAAAGATTTCACCGCATAAGTCGTGTTTGATGTTGTAGCTGAACACGACATGAGGGACCAAGAGGCATCTTGAACAAGTTTGAAGCTTTGAGAAGTGTAAGTTTCTTTTCTTCTAATTTCCTTATACTTCATCCTGCATCCCTTCAATCATGGCAAAGATTTATTAGATAGATAAGAAGAGAGGGAAAAAGGGGTGATGTGATGATAATTAGAATAGTAAGGATGCATAAGGAAAAATTAGAAAGAATTTTGCTTGCTAATGAAAATGATACCCACCCACCCACAACCCACCCACACCCACTATCTTGGGGCCCACACTTCCCATTCCCACCACCCAAATTTCCCTATCGCCACTATACACAGTCTACTCGAGTCGGAAAATACTTTTCTAAAATGCCACCTCACAATAGCCATAAAGTTGTTGGATTGGATTGCACCCCATTCCCATCCCCACATTATTCCAAAATAAATAGAATGAAATAAATGTTTGCATATATCCTTTAAACTGTTTGCGATTATTGATTTAATACTTAATAATTGTTTTTTTTTTAATTTTATTTATTTATTGAATTTTGTATCTTAATTCATAAATCTAACAAAGTAGGGGCTGAAAAATAAGCTTCAAATTTTTTTTATAAATTTACCTAATATATGTTATTATATATATTTGGATAAGATTCAAATACATATTACATATTATTATTTTTGCAAACATTTGGGCTGAGAAAAAAACCAAGTTATTTGTGTAAAATACCCTAAAAAAAATTACCCCTCTTTTTAATAGTTCTTTTAGTCCTAAATAATTAAAAGTTAGCTGTAAATTTATTCCTACCAATAAAGTTGTGGACTAACTTAGATTTAGTTTGACCATATAAGATATTATCAGTATTTTTAACAAATTAAGTTATTTTCAAGCTTTTATTTAAGCTTTTGATGATAATTTTATTAGGTAATCTTTTCTCTTTCTTTTAATTAATATTTACATTTAAAAAAGAAATATTAAGTTGATTTTGGGTAATATTTACGTCAAAATTTGTTTGGCTATTCTTTCTATGAAAAGTTCAAAAGAAAGAAGTGTGATGATTTATTAAGAGTTAAGTAATCTTAATTTCATTATGATTGGGAGATTAGAAGGGTTGAAAGATGTGTTTTTAATTAATTTGGGCTTCAATTAAACACATTAGAGGTCTCCCTACCACCACAATGCCAAAATAGCCCTTCAAACCACTATTTTGTATGCTTTGTGTATTCCACTATCCTCCCCCACTTCCAGACTTCGGTCATCCAAATATGAGTGCAAATAATCATTTCTCAGGCCAAAAATTCAACCCTAAAAGTGAGCAGTATTATAATTTATTAACACCAAAGTTTTAATTTTCAATCCTATCGAGCTCGGCCTCCTGTTTATTAATGTTTTGAATGAGAGATTTAAACATACGATGATATAAATTTGACCCTAAAAAAGATTCTAAGATATGGAGAGAGCAAAGGGGAAGTAGGCGATGGTCTCATGCTATGCTATCCTTTTTGAGAAAATATGCATTACAACATTATAACAACTGTCAAAGTTGAGATTTAAATTGCCCTTATTATTTGGCCTTTCAATTTCTCTCGCCATCACTTTGCTGTGGCTCCGTCTGTTCCCACAGCACAACATTTCCATTTCCATTTCCATTTTTTATTCTAAAGCTATACTTCTTCCTTCTCTGCAACACTGTGGCGCCTCCCATGGCGATCTCCAAATTCCTCTTTCTCCTTCTTCTTTTCCTTCCCTTTTCTTCTCCTGAGTTTGTTCCCTCTGACATTTATCTTCTCAGCTGCGGCTCGTCCTCCAGTCCCACCTTCTTTAACCGTACCTTCGTCGGCGATTCAGTCAAACCCGCCTCCGACTTTCTCACTGCTGGCCGATCGGTGGCGGTTTCCAATCGAAATCCGCCTCCGGATTCTGAGCCTTTGTATCATACGGCCAGAGTTTTCACCAGCGCCTCAAGCTACAGATTCAACATAAAAAAGAACGGTACTCACTTGCTGCGGTTCCATCTTTCGCCATTTTCGGCGCCGGAATTCGCTTTACATTCCGCAAATTTTACTATCTGGGCTAATGGTGCTTTTCTTTCTATGATTTCTCGCGTTAACGATTCTGTGATTAAAGAGTTTATGGTGAGAATTGACACCAATGTGCTTGAAATCGAGTTCAAACCGGTTTCGAGTACAGTTTTCGGGTTCGCAAATGCAATCGAGGTATTTTCAGCTCCTAAAGAACTCATTACCGATAATGGAGCTAAGCTTGTGGATTCTTATGGAGTTCGAGAATATTACAAACTCACTTCACAAATTTTGGAAACGAAATACAGAATTAACGTTGGGGGTTCTCTGGTGACCCCGTTCAATGACAGCCTATGGAGAACTTGGGTGCCTGACGAGCCTTTTCTGGTATTAAAATCGGCGGCAAAGGTCGCCGCAACTTTTCACGCGCCGAACTATCAGGCCGGTGGCGCTACCAGGGAGGACGCGCCGGACAGCGTTTATATGACATTGCAACAGATGAACAAGGAAAACTCAACTTTGGGTGCAAAATTCAACCTCACTTGGAACTTTCCATTGGAATCTAATGGCGCGAAGCACTTGATTCGCTTGCATTTCTGTGATATTGTTAGCTCTGCTCTTAATCAGCTGTATTTTAATGTGTATATCAATGGCTATTCTGCATATAGGGATCTGGATTTGTCATCTCTTTCATTTCACCAGCTTTCAACTCCTCTTTATGTTGATTTCATTGTGGATTCTGCTGGTTTTGGGAATATTCAGATAAGTGTTGGACCGTCTGATCTGAGCAGTTCATTCAGATATAATGCGATCTTAAATGGAGCAGAGATCCTGGAAATGGTGAATGCTAAGGATATGTTTTCAGAAGCTGAGAAGAAGAAGAGAAATTTATGGGTTATTGTAGGACCTGTTGTTGGTGGATTTGTTGGTTTATGTTTGGTTGTTGCTGCAATTCTTGCTTTGGGATGCAAAAGGAGGAAGAAGAGGAAGCCGAGGCGGGCCGAGAGTGCAGGTTGGACATCGGTTCAGGCGTATGGAGGAGGCAGTTCTGATAGTAAATTATCAAGGGGATCAACTCTTGCAACATCTTTTGGACCAAATGGATACCACAGCTTGAAGATCCCCTTTGCCGATATTCAGTTGGCGACAAACGACTTCGACAAGAGTTTGATCATTGGTTCGGGCGGATTTGGTATGGTTTACAAAGGGGTTCTTGGGGACAATATAAATGTTGCTGTGAAGAGAGGTGTGCCAGGATCACGTCAGGGTCTGCCTGAATTCCACACTGAGATTGCCATTTTGTCCAAGATTCGACATCACCATCTTGTTTCGCTTGTTGGATATTGTGATGAACAGTCTGAAATGATACTGGTTTATGAATATATGGAGAAAGGTCCATTGAAAAAGCAATTGTATGGCCCGATTGTCTCACCGTTGTCATGGAAGCAACGACTCGAAATCTGCATTGGTGCAGCCAGAGGTCTTCACTACCTCCACACTGGTTTTGCACAGGGCATCATCCACCGTGATATCAAGTCGACCAACATTTTGCTGGATGAGAACTATGTTGCTAAAGTTGCAGATTTTGGTCTTTCAAGATCCGGGCCTCGTCTCGATGAAACCCATGTTAGTACTGGAGTTAAAGGCAGCTTCGGCTATCTAGATCCCGAGTATTTTCGAAGACAACAACTCACTGATAAGTCGGATGTCTATTCATTTGGAGTAGTTCTCTTTGAAGTTCTTTGTGCTAGGCCTGCTGTTGATCCATTGCTTGCTAGGGAACAAGTAAACCTTGCGGAATGGGCACTGCATTGGCAAAGGAAAGGCATGCTCGAAAAGATTATCGATCCACATTTGGTCGGGCAAATCAATCCGAGTTCGTTGAAGAAGTATGGAGAAACAGCAGAAAAATGTTTGGCTGACTATGGTATTGACAGACCAACCATGGGAGATGTGTTATGGAACTTGGAATATGTTCTTCAACTACAAGTCGGGATACAGACCGAACCATTGGAACCCGTGGACATCGACGACTCCGACTTCCCAACATCCACAGCAATTCATCCTAGCAACTTGAGGAGACATTCAGATGAAAGTACTGGTAATTATTCAGACATAAGTACAACCAAAGTTTTCTCCCAATTGCTTACTAATGATGGAAGATAGATAGCTTTATGATTGATTCTAAAACATAAGAAGCAATCCGAATAGTCATCATTCTCTCTTCTTACACCATATTTTAGAGGTACCTTAGTTACATTTTACTGTAGGAAAATTACAGCCGAGAGTGTTATCTTGGTTTAATGTTGTGAATTCTGTAGTATTGTAAATTTACCTCAAAATTGAAATGAAATCCTAATAATCTATACGGTGAGATTCCATATCGGTTAGAGAAGAGAATGAAACTTTCTTTAGAAGGGTGTGTAAACCTGTTTTATAAACTTTGAGGGAAAGCCCAAAGAGACAATATCTGCTAGCGTTGAGCTTAGGCTGTTGAGAAAACTACTACGAAGTGTATCTTGTTGGATGATGAAAGTCCCACATCGGCTAATTTAGGGAATGTTTATAAATGAGGAATACTAACTCCATTGGTATGAGGTCTTTTGGGAAGCCCAAAGCAAAGCCATGAGAGCTTATGCTCAAAGTGGACAATGTCATACCATTGTGGAGAGTCGTGTTCGTCTAACATATCTAAAGGGCCGTTTGTGAGTGGGCAGTGTGAAAGAAGTTGAGCTCTTTCTTTTATTTTTCTTTTCCATTGGGAATCTTTTGGTTTGTGACCCAAAGTTGATGTTGGCTGTGACAAAACAAAATATTCCAAAGTGATATCATCACGAGACCTAAATAAACGAGTAATTTTGTCTTTTTAATTTTTTTTTTTTTTTAAATTTCTTGACTCGAGTCTCGTATATTATACAAGTTGTCTAAATTAATAGTGATTTCTAAAATTTAATTTTATCTTAATATTTTAAAATTTAAAATATTACAAAATAAATTTAACAAATCCTGAAAAATATCAGTAGATTAAAGGACAAGACTAATGAATCCGAGCCCGATTGTCGACGAAGGCACGAGCACGTGGGACCCACTCGTCCAACTCATTTCAGATAATGACCTTATTACCCATCATCTCCCCTGCAACCTGGCACCGACTGCCAGGCTGACTGTGCTTCACCTTTCCGTTTCTGTAATTTTTCATATTCTCAAGGGCAATTTCGTAGTTACCCCCTATTTCTTCAATCATTTTGAATAAAAAAGGATATTATTATTCAATTCTTTATTTTAAATTTTAAAATACATTTTTTAAATTTAGCTTACTTTACACTCAAAATATTTATATATGTTAATGTCAAATTATCATAAAAATATTAAAAAGATCCGAATTATATTTAAAACTTTATGACCGATAAAATATCGTATGTTAGAGTGCTCATTGTAGTAATTGTAATTAATTATAATTACTGGAGGTAGGTGATAGACACAAAAATAGACGGTGAGGATTGTCATCAGAGTAGTCTGTAATTGTAGTGATAATGATCATCGACACACGGCAGAATAATGAATGACAACCTCACGATAAAATTTAAAAGTGAAATACAGAGGATATTTTGGTTATTTTAATATATTAGGAAATTAAGAGACATTTTAAGTTAAAATATTAAAATAAAAAATCTAAAATTTGGTTTGTTAAAAGTAACATATTTCTCAGATCCAGGTGATTTTGCAGAGTTGTGAAGAATAATTAAAAGAAAAATGAAATACTTCAAGAAGTAAAAACAAACAACCCACAATCTAAATTCGAATTCGTCTTTTTAGAGTTTAAAGAAAGAAAGGGAGCAATTGGAGAAAGAGATTTCGATTTTCGAGGCGAAAAGATTTTGAAATCAGAGACCGCGAAGAGCAAATCATGGTGTGAAGTGGAGAGATGGCGGTGGTCCAAGGGTTCTTTTGATTTCATTTGAATCCAATTCAATTCTTCGAACTGAGAGACATTGCGAGGCAAGTTTCAGGAGATACCGGTGGTAGATTTAGGGTTAGGATAATTTTGTTTCAAATTCTGTGAGAAGAGGAGGACTAGGTTTACAGTTTAGGGTTTTTGTTTGCGTTTTTCTTGAAAAAAATGACTGACGTGATGCTGCATATATACGACGTCACGAATAGCGGATCAGATAAGACCAACAATACAATTGTTAATATCAACAAGATCTTCAAGGATGGAATTGGTCTAGGCGGTATCTTCCATAGCGCTGTTCAGGTTTCCCGCTTTCTCCTCTGTTTTTCTCTTCGTATTTACATGTTAATGTAGACTAAGTATTTGATGTTTTCAACTATGTTATATTGTACCGTTATATTTTATCTTTTGGTAATCAATTCGTTTTCAGTTTAAGATGAACGATTGGTATCTTCATTGCTTTGCAAGTGTGAATGTCAGACGAGTGTGGCTTTGTTCTGTCTTATATTAGCGGGAGTGTCTGCTTAATGATCCAGTAGTTTAGTACGTGTTGCTCTGATTTAGGTTGATATTGGCTTTTATGGAGGTAGAGATTTGATACCTACTAAGGATGTAATGTGTTACAGTTCATCTAAGACTTTTGAGAAGGTTTGTTAGTTCTATTTTTCGTGATAGAAATTAGAATTTGTTCTAATCCAGAAGATATTGGACTCTGTGGTTCACTCTAGATTGTGAGATATCGTTATATATTTTATCTCATAAGACGTGTGATATTGTTTGCAATAGATCGTGTAGTAATTTTCTACTTTTCACTCCCATTCTCGCCATGGATAATCATAGATTCTACTCTTACATTCTGGTTGCCAATGTTTACTTCAGCAACATTTGGTAGTTTCCAGGATATTTTGTTATTTCATCCGTTTAATTCCTACAGATTATGGCGTTCTTCCATAAGAGTTTAGCTATCAAACAATGTGTAGATTTTGCAGTTAAGATTTCTTCATAGAAGCGATGAAATATTATTCTGAAATGAATTTGCAAAGGTGTATGAAGCTTCCACTATTGTACTCTTCGCCAATCACATTCTCCTAACCATATTTGACTACAGATTTATGTCTATTATGGTTGACGGGGTGTTAGACTAATTGTGCTATGCACTACAGGTTTATGGAGATGATGAATGGTCTTTTGGGTTTTGCGAGCAAGGAACTGGAGTTTTCAGTTGCCCTTCTGGACAGAATCCGATGTACACATATCGTGAAAGTATTAACCTTGGTAAAACAAACTGTTCAATTTTCAAGGTGAATCAGATTTTAAGGGAACTTAGTAGAGAGTGGCCTGGAAGTTCATATGACTTACTTTCAAGAAACTGTAACCACTTTTGTGATCAGTTCTGTGAAATGCTCAGTGTATCAAAACTTCCAGGTAATGTTATCTGTGCTCATACTATTATGATCTATAATAATAAGATCTTTGTTCTGAGACAATTTCTGTGTGCATTTGAGGCATCAACTAGATTTATTATGCCTGATGTTTTATGGAGATAATGAAAGAAATTCATTTACGTCTATTAGGTTTCTAAGTTCATGTCGGCATGTTGACCTTCTCTCATTTACAGTATATATTTGAATCATCATGTTTTTAATATAATATTTCTGTTTGTTGTTCTAGTTTTAAATGACATCACTTTTGATGATGAGTGGCTTTTATCGCTAAAAAAAGCTCATTAAGCATGTCGATAATAAGTACACTATTGGTCTTTAAGAGATATTGAGGCACGTGCTTTGGGCCCTAGTCTGAGGTTCAACTCGGCAGAAAGGCAAACAGAGCATTTTAAAACCCCATTAAAACGACAGGCTTCTATTTTACATCTTTGAGCGTGCACATAACTGAGTTTGGGGCTTATTTGAAACATAGATCTTATCAAATACATCTTCATTTTCTGGCTATTTTAGTTCTCTCTCTGTCTCTTTATTTTTGTTTTCTTTTTACTAAACTAACTGTTATACTCTCTTCGCTGTCATTCTTATTTTTGTCTTTGCATTTCATAAAAGTTGTTACTTTTTCCTAGTCATTTCATCTCCTAATAATTGACTGGTATTGGTTTCCTTTTTCCTTATTTCTCCATATCTTGTGTAGAATCTTTGTTACAAGTGATGGAGGTGAGAAAACATTTTGAAGTTTAGACCTGAAAGCATGTAAGGATGTATAATTAAATATTTGAAGCTCTGGACTTTACATTGATGTTATAGGATGAAATAATGGACGTAGACTGGTAGAGACTATTTTCTTTTAAATGGAGTTATTATTTTGGCAAATACTTTAACAAGATGATGTTGATTATTTTTTGGGAGAAGAAGTCTGATGATGCTTATCCTGTTGTAGGTTGGGTTAATCGGTTTGCCAACGCTGGTGATGCTGCATTGGAAGTAGCTGGAAACACAGCAGTTCGTGTAAGATTTACGCTTCATCATTTATCGCATAACATTTTACATGTCAGAATGACTCTTTTCTGGATCGAAGCAATTTTATGACATCTATATTTTAAGGGGAACTTTACCACTACTTACAATTGCTCAGCCCTTTGCATCTAGGCTTATTTTTCTTACAAGTCTTTCTTTTCTGAAAAGGCAGTTACAAGTTGTGTAATGAAATGAACTAAACTTGCTTTGTGGGTTTTGATGGGGTTGTTGCAGTTCAAACAAGCGAAAACGGAGATCATATCGGCCAGCAAAGTGGCTTACCGTTTTATTCTAGGGGCCACGAACAACGTCATATCACCCACAGAGTCTACAGATGACTCAAATAGAGGTACTTCTAGATTTCAAGCTGCATGGTTTAAGAATCTTATTACCACAGGTGCCAAACCATCGAGTAGTTCAGAAGTAGGGAATGAAGTTGAAGAAGGTGCAGCAGAGCAACAAAGCAAAGCAAATGAAGAGACACCAATATTGCTCAATTCACGAGCGCAACAAGACATGTGAAAACATTGTTAGGTAAAAGTGGAAATCTGTGTTGATGATCTTAGGTTCATTTGTTTTTTTAAGTGTAAAATTTCATTTTTATCACTGAGAAATATATGTGTTCTGTGTGCGTTTATATGTGGGAATCGTGTTTTGATGATATTCTGTGCAGAACCCTGCAAGTTGATATTTTATAGATAATGCAACCCATTTCTTCGCCTCTCAACTGATTTATATTTTTTAAGTGTAATGCATAATTTATGCTCTGCCGACATTGCGGCTTCTATTCATCTGGTAAATCATAGTCAACCATCTGATTAAGAACGTAAGTAAAATTCAAAAATTATTTCATGCCAACACATTTGAAAAGTGGATCTCAAATGTCTGCAAATATATATAAATCACTGGTTTTCTGTTAAAAAAAAAGGATCCATTTTGAGCAGAGAATAATTTATGGCAGGCATTAAAGATTATTATTCTACGTGGATCAATAACTACTTTCAGCATTCAATCCCCTTCCAAGCAGACAAGGCAATCCAGTTAAGTCGTTGAAGCCAAAAACATTTTTCTATAATACAAAGTCATACAAAATACAATTCAACAAAGACAGGATTGATGATCTCAGTGAGCGGCTTGGCCGGAATGCACATTTGAGAACAACTTCTGCCGAGCGTGCCCTTGGAGCACGCCAACGCATTACTCAAGAAGGTGGAATTCGCGAGCTTAAGGTCCATAAGAACAACTTGGAACTCCCTCAAACACATGACAAATCTTCCACACGCAAACAATTATGGGAGCATGTACCAGAACACCATATTACCACAATTTCAAACATGCGAAGTAATTTTACATACCCCTTCGCTTTCTGTTAAGGGCGTTGAATTCTTCATCCCCATCTACCGTAATATGAAGTGATGAGACAGCCTGCGCCGCTATAATGCCAGCAGAAATCTCACTTACAGCTCCATCAACTTGCTTGAAACATAATGCACGGTGATCCTCAGCATAATGTCCAGCAGAGACCGACCAATAATCGCTCCCAAAACCATGCCACATTGATCCAAATCTATCGATGTTAGAAGTCCAACCAGTCCCATCAAGGGTGGTACATCTCCCAAACTCCTGCACTGGAATGTCTGGTCTTGTAACACTCATTACGTGGTCAAACTGCCCAGGGCACTCCCAAGGGTTGAGACCGTCATTCTCTAGAAGAATCTTGTACGAGTCATCTGAGTCTTCACCAATCAGGACATGCAGAGCAACAGCCTCAGCAATAGCAGCACCTTCTTCATCTAGCCTTCGCTGTTCTTCCTTCTTCATTTGTTTTTTCTTTTCAAGTTCAGATATAATAGCTGCTGAAGTAGCAAGCGCTTTTTCTAACCGCCTCTTTTTCTTCTCAGCTTGTTTCTGACGATCCAACTCATCCTTCACCTGCTTCTTTTTTGCTTTCTTCACGACAGGCTGTCCTTTATTACCCATACTAGCCACAAAACTAGCCATAACCTACCTAAACTTTTCAATCTCTTTTTCAAAGAACTAGTTGTAATTAGTATATATATCCTCGTAATTGTTTTTCCATCCTTTCATCATGATGCTATAAAATCTACAGTGGATTACTTTTTATATATATATATAAATCTACTATAATTTTACTATCCTAAACACTACACCCACTCAGGTCTGTAGGAATACCTCATTTTCCTGACAATGCAATCCCAGACAGAGACAACAGGTGACAACAAAAGAGCATATTTGTAAGAAGTGATAGAACCACCTCTTGGCACCAGTCGTCCTAGTTTTCCACAACCTTTCCACTTACCCATTTTGTTCATATCAAATGAACCAAAAAGTGTGCAATATTCCAACCGAAGCAACAAATACAAAGCTGTCTAATTGCAAGCAACTCACATGAGCCTCTTCCTGATGGCTGTGGATTGAAGAGAATAAACTAGTCAATAATCTTCAAGACCATAGAAAAAGAAACGGTAAAAATGCCTACTATAAGCTATTCAACTGCTAACACTGTTAGTTACAATTAACAGCATTCATGGAGACTGCCAAAGAACAAACGTACAAAGAAACCTATAAAGAGAACAATAAAAGAATCTAACACCATGTACTAAGTAACCTGAGAGTTTACCAGCAAGAGACAAGGAAGAGACAACATGCCATAAAATCATGAAAATTTTCAGGGAAAAGATAGGAAGAAATGTTCAATGGTTCTTTTTTTTTTTTTTCCCCGGATAAATAGAAAGGAACTCAATGCTATTAAAAGCATACACCGCATAATAACAATAATATTAGCCTTCTGAGCCTCAGATCCTAAGTTCATTGTCACAAACTTGCACCTGCGTTCTCTTTTTTTATGCATGCTAATTCACTTGTACAATCCTTTATTCACCTACATGTTCCACATGTGATAATCATCCCTCATACAAGAAGACATTAAACATTCAAAGAAGAAAAAATCAATTAATTGTGAACAAAGTACAGCAACAAATAAAAGTTGCAGAGGGTCAGGGGAGGAACCTGAAACAAAACATATTCTAAGTAAGCCATCTATAAGTTCCCCCCAGGGGTGATGCAAAGCATAATTGACCATGAACTCAAATGACCGAGACTATCATCCACCACCATCTAAATATGTATTCACTTAAAGAATGAGTTAGTTCTCGGTAGAATCCTCTGATATAGACACAAGTTTAGGGTATCAAACTAAACATGATCGGAACCTACAATCTGATCTACAAACCAGGTATTACATGCCTATGAGCACAAAGCATAAATGGCCATCAATTCAAATTTAACTGAGACTTCACACCCAACACCATTCAAATTTAACTGAGACTTCACACCCAACACCAATAAACTAGAGTTGTTAGAAACCAGCCACCAAGTCTACAAACTAAGCATTATACACCCATAACAATGAGTCATACATAGTGCGTAGTGACCTCGATCCAATATGGAAATGGGAATTCCAAAGTACTTAAACTACTTGAACAATCATCAACATCAGATCGAGATATACAGTAAGCAAACTGTGCACATAAATATAACCCGAGGTAATTCAATCCAAATTCTTCACCATGCAAGAAAACGACAATCGTTTCTAAACAAAACCAAAAGGAAAATAGATTCGGGGCTCAATCGCATCTCTTAGCTGCTCCGCTAAATCATGCCCAGGATACTCAGATCACAGATTTAAAAACATTGGATCCCCAAAACTACAGCAGTGTAGAGGATACAGAATAAAATCACAGCAAAAAAGAAGAAAATGTTCAAAACCTAAAGCAGATTAACACAAGTGGCAGCTAATGATACACCGGCTCATTAAGAGTACGCACAACGAAAATTAGGGCTCAAATCCTGTAGCGTTGGATCCAGATCCATAAAGATAGTGATAAATGGGAGGAAGGGGAAAGACGGCAAACAAGAAACAGGTTCCAGAAGTAAATCGTGCAGAAGGTACGATAAATATCCATCTCCATTACAGTAAATCGTGTAAGAAATTTTACGATAAATATCCAATTTGAGGATCAAACAACTAAGAAAAGAGAACCTAAACCTTTCAGAATGGTAGAAAATAGAAAGAGGTCCCCATCTCCATTATCGCGATCTACGAAGAAAAAGCCCCAAGAAATTTAGGGTTCAGACAATGCCGATTTCGGATCCAGAGAGAGAGAAGAAAGGAAGAAACGCTGTACCGTCGGAGAAATAGTAAAATAGATAACTGACTTGGTGAGAGAGTGAAGATAATTCTTCACAGACAAATCAAGAATCACCACGTGGCATGTGATGGCTGGCTTTGATGTAAAAGAAGCAATGGCATCTAAAATTATCTGGCTGACACCTTCTTGGCGGCTCGGCTCTCATCGGCTGGCCCACAATATAAAGCCTAGGACAAAAATTAAACTTTTTTTTATATATATAATAATTATGAAGGTATTAAGTGAAAATGGAAATAACCAAGTTGGAGCAATAAAAGCTCTTAGCAAGCTCTAAAATTTCTTGCCCTGGAAAACATAGGCCTTATATTCAGCAAGTATGTAACCGAAAAATTTGAAGGACACCCAAGTGCAACTGGAGACTATTGTGAGATAAACCATCTATTCATAATGATAGCTCATAAAATTTCACTTAGAGATGCCCGTGGTTTGAAGCGGGAATGAAGACGACATTTGGCGGGAGACGGGAATGAGACAGGGAATATAATCCCCAGGTCCTTAATATGGAAAAATCTCTTCCCTTCCCTCCTCATTCCTCATTTAAATCAGGATTTTCCCTCTATTTGGAGCAAGTTTATAAGGGTTAGATGGACATCTCTAAATATCAAATCCGGGAGTATAAGCTCTACCATAATTAAGAAAAACCGTGTAACTATTATGCTGATCCTATTTGATAAAGTAAAAATACCATATAGTATCAACCATACAATATGATGAGAGAATCTACCACTCCCACCTGAATCCGAATGTCTTCTGGCCTTGAGCCCAAAAAAGGTAAAGCAACGAGGCTTAATCAGACTATTCAAAGTTTTTGACAGCATCAAAGGCATTTACCAACCTTATTTGGGATTTTTTACAGCTTTGGTTGTCTGGCCAGAAATATTGACAAAGAACAAGACCATACCTACAAATACAGAGAGATTGAAGAGAATCTGACATTTGAAGCACAAGATACAAGACACTGAGCTAAATAAGAAATTTGATGAACTTCCTATCTACAGAGAATTTGATCACAAACTAATGTGAAAATCAATGTCATTGGGTTCAGGATGGGCCTGAAACACATAATTGGAATCTAATGCGGTGGTACCATATTATCACATCAAGATATTGAATGGCACGCGCAAGTGCACGACATTCAGATTCTAAAATGGAACAGGCAGAGAAATTCTTTAGGACCAAGAGAACAAGGTATCGCCATTAAACGCACAACCCATGATAAGGTTTTGCATTGGTAATTATAGAGTAGAGTGAATATCAGGTTTGGCATTGGTAATTATAGAGATACTGGTGGGAACCATGTGTGAGATAGAAGAGATTGGATTGGTCACGAGAACGCCATGAGACTTGAAAAGAGGCCCAAATTTAGCCATGGGTGAATAGCAAAAGGCTTGATGTGGGCTAACCCAATTCGAGCAAGATCATCTCCATTTGGTTTGACTAAGAAATGGACCTAAGAGAATACAACCCGAGACCAAAAACAATAACCCACTCACTTGATCCAAACGAAGAGTAGTATTCTTCTTCTGCATATCCACCCAGATTAAAAGAAGGATGAAATTATAACTAGTAAATAAAGATCATCAACATGTACAAGATTCAGAATAACAGATATTTGAAATTCAAGATTTAAAAAAAAAAAAAAAAAAAAAGTGTCTAAAACTATTAATAATTTAAACAAAAAAGAGTAAAATCGATGTATTTTCAAATCATTCGCTTAACCACCTGATGTTAATATGTAACTTTTACCAAGAAACAAAAATAGATATTGATTATCACATATACCAATTCCAATAAGTACCAAAAACTAATCGTCCTACACTTGTTTCAAAAATAAAATCATCTTCACTAATTTTATTATTTACAAATATATTACTAAATTTAAAAACAGCTTCTAATATTCAAACCCGGATCTTCTCCAAAAATATATATGCCGACAACTTTATATTTAAAGGAATTTCTAATTTCAATAATAAGATTCAAATTTTAAATCTACAATTTTAAAAAATACTCAATAGGAATCGCTTTCTAAAATTTATTTAAAAAATTGGAAATAAAAACTAATTTAAATATTTATTAGTAATATATATAGACTAAATTAAAAAAATTTAAATATAAAAACAAAACAAAATTCTGAGTTTTTTATTCATGAAAGAAGAAGCATTTGTTTTTTCATTTATAATGAAAAAGCATTGGAATTTCCGTATTGAGTTTGAACTACCCGTAAACCAAATTGAATTGACTAAAGATGAGGATGACGTGCACGCTTTCGAAAATTCCGCTTTCCACTGAAAGAAACAATAAAATAATATTAAAAAATGAATAATAATAAGAAACGGTGGGCTTAAAATGGGACCAATTCCCAACATTTCTTAAGGAAAAAGAAAATGCATTTAAGAACTCATATGATGAAATTCAAGAAATTATGCATCTTAATGCAAAATATATATCACTTAAAAAAAACCATTTGAAAAAATCAATTTATAAACACCATCTATAAATTTCCAGAATTAAATTTTTAATTCAACATAATTTTAAACAAGGCTAGAAAATATAATTTTTACGCGCACAGACACTATTTGAATGTCACATCATCTTGTGAAAGAAATGGAAAAGTATAGAGCAATGAGAATTTGACAAATTTGGAGCAGAGTTCTTAATGGAGAAAGAGGATATTATAAACTATGAATAAAGAATTAGAAAGTGCAATGCATGAACCCTCCCACCCCCGAGCTTACGGCTTTAACTTTACAGAAATGGTTGAGCAATTTCCAAGGGGATCCCATGGGGGTTGACAATGGCAACGTGGACTGGCCGAGAGCGTAAGAAACAGACACGTAAAACCCAATACCTCGAATGGAGACAACAAAGTTTTAGGCTCATCTCATCCCTTGCAAGTGGTTTTGGTTGGGGACTTTTATCAAACAGGTGGAGTGCATTATAGGGTATTTTGAGTTTCAAAAGCTATTGGTGTTCGATGACAAAATTCTAGAAATGCATTTAAAAAAAGGCATAAACAGAAGAACTCGAAAATCCCATAAAATTTGGTCATTTCTAGATTCTAGGCTTTTTATCAAACACCTGGCGTGCAATATTTGGATAAGACAAAGACCCCATTAATTAGAAAAAGAAACTCTTGTGTGTGATTTGCATGTGATATATATATAGCCTAATCAGACTCCCAAATAGAATAGGGTTGTTAATCCAAGAACGTAGACACTAATTGACTCCATAATCCATAAATTAATCAAAGGGAAGAAGCTTTTCACCGACCTTATTATGGAATTCCCGGTGGACCCATTTGGGCACTAAAATGCTTGGCTTTTGGTCCGAAATTTCAGCATACTTCGTGTGAAAATCTGAGAGAAATAGAGAGAAATGTTGACACTCCGCCAATGGAGATGACTGGCGCGCGGGAAGGTACTGAAAGGGAAGTGTGAACGTCTCTGTTGAGTAAAGAGTTCAAAATGAAAGCCATTAAGGATACTTTATTATATATATATCCTTTCATTTAGGCTTTTTTTTTTTTTTTTTTAACTAATTCCTTTTAAATATTTTTAATTTAAATACTTATTTCATCATTTACATTAATTATTATTTTTTAATTCAACCAAACCAATTACTTTCTTTAGAATTAACTTTTAAAATGTTGGTTTAATCCATTTGATTCTTCTAAAAATTATTTCATTCATTTATCTTTTATTGTATATTTTCTTTTAAAAATTATTTATTTGATTAGTAATGGCTTTGACATTTAACCAGCTCGAATATTTACATACTTTATTAAATTATGAAATATCAAAAATTACACAAATTTATGAGTGAATTATTTACTTTTGGCTGATTTATTTTTTTCACGGTAGCATTAGAGAGTAAAAAGTAGAGGGTAAGTCCTGGGTAAAAGCAAATCCTTCCTACCAAATTTACCATCTCATTATTCTACCCTTTTGCCTCGTACAGTAAAAAATAGGGGGGAAAAGGAGGCAGTGATCTAAACTTTCACTTTTTAATTATCAAAGTTACTGCTAGAGGAGGGTTTCTTTTTTTTCTTCTTTTTTCCTTCTCATTTTTACTTCACATCAATAGTGGGGCCCTCTGGTGACTGGTTAATCAAGAACCGTTGATTGGTTTTTTGGCCGTGGATTTTATTCTTCTGTTGATTTCCTTCTCCAATTCTTCTAGGCCTCCCACTTCCTCTAATTCCTGAACCACAACATTTTTGCGAAAATAATTTATTAAAATAAATAAATAAACATAAAAATAAAAATAAAAATAAATAGACCCGAAACTAACCTTTGGACCCAAAAACAGCCCGTACGGAACACCGTTTAACTTTTCCGAATGATGAAGCTACATTCAAGAAACATAAAATTCATAAAATTCATTAGGAAAATAATATTGGAAATTTAAATTGGAGATAATATTTTAAATCTAGAATTACATTTAGACACGTGCAATTAATTTTCTATATGCAAGTTAATAACAAATGTTATTAATTTAACTGTAAAAAACATAATTTAATATGATATTATTAAAAGTTGTTCAAACTCTAAGAATATTGTTATATTTAAAATTAATTAAGATGATACATTATTGGACAGTTTATTTAAAATTATATTTTTGTTTCTAAGTTAATTAAGATTTAAATTATAACAAATATGCTTTTTTTAAAAAAAAAAAAATCAATATTTAGATAAATGAATTTACCTGGTGAGCAGCAGCGACCTTTCTGAAGTAGGGCACGTTGGCAATGGGACCCACAGGGAATCTTTTGTGAACGAGACCGTCGTGGACGAACATGTAGGCCATCCCAAACACAGTAATTCCAAGGCCCTGCCACAACCCGCCAGCGTGTCAAACCCTTTATCAATTAACAACACTTTTGCTAGGGCTATTTTCGTCATTTAATACCGTAATTAGCGCTAATCCCCAAGTGATTAGTTAGGATATGAAACAGACTCAGATTCGGAAAGATTGCGAGAGAGAGAGAGAGATTTACAGCGCCGAAGCAGAGACCAGGGACGAGGCCTTTATGGAAGAAGCCGTAAGAGAGGAGAGCTATGGCGGGCACGGCGTTGGTTATAGCGAAAACATCGTTCAATTCGAACGGTCCTTCTCTTGGTTTGTGGTGAGACTGTAATATTCAAGATCAACGAAGTCCAAGCGTCAACAATTTTCATTTTTAATTCAATGTTGTTTGTTTGCTAGGAAAGTGAACATGGAAAATGAGAGAAAGGTCCACAGTGGACGATCTGTTATTGTTAATCAAATCTTCTCAACAGCCAAAACATAAAAAAAAAAAAAAAAAAACTATAGAGAAGTGATTAGTGCGACTGTGCTGCAATTAACAAGTCCAAGCCTCAACGTAGTGCGACTGTGCTGCAATTAACAAGTCCAAGCCTCAACGATTCTTCTATCCTTTTGAATATTGATTGTTCGCTATGAAACTGAGGTTCATCGTGGATTATTGTTGATAGAAATTTTCACAGCAGAAATGAACTCAGAAATACGATATTCTGTAGATAAGAAGGATTAGAAACCTATACCTCGTGCATATGCCACAAGGAAGCGTGCCAGAGAGCCCTATGTGCCCATCTTGCCCAAAACTCCATGCCGACCTGATATTCCCAAATTGATTGTGAAAATCGAACTCTTCGAGAAAAGTAGAGAATACAGAGATGAAATGAGATTTAAAACGTACAGCGGCACCAACGGAGAGAGCAAATGTACCAAACATTTCAGAGAAAGGAATCTCTCCGCCCTACACACCGCCAAATTGAACAGTCGCAATTCAGTATTTAGTCGAAAGGATTCGGCGCGATGAAAACAAAAACAAATCAAGTTTCTATGGAGAGAGAGAGAGAGAGGGAGAGGACCTCCATTTGCCAGTGAAATCGGTAGTAAACTGCCATGACAGCCATGGAAGTAATTCCAAAACTAGACATAACTGCAGCAACAAGATAAGTGAAGCGCTCCGATTTCTTCCTCGCTAATTTCTCTGCAACATGAGGCGATGGGATCTGCGGGACTATAATCAGTAATTTTTCATCTGCGAGATTTTCCACCTCGCTGGAACTACTCTGATCCTCAACGAGCACGCAGACGGTGAGCAGCGTTTTTCTCCGCATCTTCCATTGGATTCTACTGTTCCGGAAGACCGAAGATGGAAACAGCAACGGAGTTCGAGGTTTAGGGGAGAGATTGGAGGAAGTAAGGAAGACATGGAATGGTTTGGGCCCTAAGACGGCAGAGAGGCTGGCCGCCATGGGAGAGATAAAGGTGAAAATACGGTGGAAGAAAGGGAAGCTTCTCGGAGAGAACGACAGCGGCGAGAGAGAGCTAAAAATGGAGGTTGAAGGAACAGAGACCACAAGTTCTTTATTTTATTTTCATAACAATAAAAAATTGGGCAACTTGGTTGGAGTATTTGGCTGCCCTTCTTTCCTTTATATACAAAATTGTCATTTTCACCCTCTTTATTTTTATTTTTTCACCCTTCTTACTAATTTATTTCAAAAATACCCTTTTAACTTAACAAATTTTCATTTTTATTCATATTATCCTCAACCTTTGTCCTCTTTAGTTAACCATTTTCTGTTATATCTTATTATTAAAATTTAGTAAATTTGAATCACGACAGACCAAACAGGAGTGGAAAAAATAGAATAAGGTTGTTGAAAATTAAGGAAGTTGGTGAAAGGCTAAAATTGATGTGTGTGGACCAAGGGGCCAAGGGCTGAGCAAAAAAGAACAGTGGACTGGGAACAGAAGACGACACTGACAGCTAATCACTTAAAACGACAAAACCATTTCCTTCATTTTCCCCATGCAATCACATCTTGACACGTGGCATGCCCGCCTCTTCCACACCCCTTCTCTAGGGGGTTCACTCTATTATTGTCTCCTACGTGGATCTCTCCGAATTTCAAATTTGGTTCTCCAGTTGACACGTGGCCATTTTGTTATCTCATGTGACACGTGGCCGTTATGTTATCTCATGTGACACGTGGCCGTTATGTTATCTCCTGTGACACGAGACAGTCGAGCGGTGTTGCTAGGATGTCACGCATCTCCCAGCTACTACTTTTAGTTAAACGTTTGGAAGATTTTAGGGCCCTACTGAAAAACAAATATTCGAATTTAGTGCTAAAATTGTTTTTTTTTTTTTTTTTTTTTTTTTTTTTTT